CGCACATGTTTGTCCAGTGTGGCCCGCAGGCCGAAGGGCACGCGACAGTGGGGGCACTCGAAGCGGGCACCCCCGGGCCCCAGGCCGTGCATGCGGCGGTGGCGGTTGAGCTTGCTGCTCTGGGCGCAGGCGTAGGGGCACAGCTCGCAGGCGTAGGGCCGCTCCCCGGTGTGTGAGCGCCGGTGCACCGTCAGGTTGCTGCTGTTGGCGAAGTGCTTCCCGCAGAACTCGCAGCTGCCCCCAGACCCACGGCTCTTGCCCACCGGCTTTGGCGTCTTCTTGGGTGACGTTTTTGGGCTCTGGACAGGGTCCGTTCTCTCTTCCTTGACGGCGACTTGCCAACCATCCCCACCAGGGCCCACTTGGGCCCCACCACCGGGAGCCCCAGGTTCTTGCACACCTGCTGTGGCGGCGGCTCCAGCCCCTTCCCCACCGCTGCACGAGAGGGCACTGGCCGGGGCGGCAGCATGGGCCGCTGGCTCTGGCGGGGCGGCGGAGGCCTGCTCCTCACTGGCGTTGGCCATGTCGGGGCTCTGGGGCAGCAGCTGCTGGTGGGTCTTCTTGTGGCGGTTGAGCTTGCTGCTCTGGGCGCAGGCGTAGGGACACTGGTCGCAGGCGTAGGGCCGCTCGCCCGTGTGTGAACGCATGTGCACCTTGAGGTTGCTGAAGGAGCTGAGGGTCTTCATACAAACGGGGCAGGTGGGGCTCCGCCGGGGAAGGCTGCTCGCCCGGGGGCTCTTGGCCTCTGCTTCTGGCCCCAACACTGCTGACACTGCAGACACGGCCGCGGCCACCTCTGCCAGGCCCAGCAGCGGGGTCTCCGGGGCCTCGGGTTCTGTCTGGTAGATGGCCATTCCATGGTCCCACTGGGCGTGGCGGAGCAGCTTCCAGGCCCTCTCGAACTGCCGGCCGCAACGGAGGCAGATCAAGGCCTTCAGGTCCTCGAGTTCTGCAGAAAGAAGGGTCAGGTGTTAGTGTGATGGGTCAAAGGCATGAGGCTTGCACGTCACGGCTGCCAGTTAGGGTTGGGAAAAGCTGTTCAGGGCCCGAGGACAGAGGGCAGGCGAACTCTCTGCCCTCAGGAAGCAGATGTTCAGGGAGGCGGACGGACACACAAGAAGCGAAGAAAATCTGGAGTGGGTGATGAAGCCCTGAAGGTTTTCTGTGTTTGAAAATCTTCAAGAAAAAATGAAAAGTTAAAACAGGGCGGGGTGGGGGGTGGCATTCCGGAAGGCCATGCTGAGGAGATGACCAAAATCAGTGTGCCAGCCGCTGGGCCATGCCTCAGTCTACTCTCACAACTTTCCTTCACGACAAGAAAACCTCCATTTTCAGCTGGTAAAATGGAGGCAGAGACATTTCCATTTCTCCAAGGTCACACAGCTTGGAAGGGGTAGGGGCCCTGCGGTTTCAATCCAGAAACCTGGGGAGTGGGAAAGGGGTTTTCAAAGGTCGTTGGTTTAATAATAAATACTGCTCTTGATGACTGAGTGGGTTCCTGTCAGGACCCACACGCCTGGGTTCCATGCCCTGCAGGAGAGGGAGCCAAGGTCTAAGATGGGGGAGAAGGCTTAGCAGCCACCTACTGAGGCAAGGGGGTAGCAAGCTAGGTTCCCCACTTCTGCACAGACCCCCCCAAATTTGATATTTTCTCTAGGTCCTCCATTCACTATCAGTAAGGTACTTCCTAGATCCACGACTACTTGGATGGAGGTGGCTTTCCTGACGCAACTCCAGGGTCAAGAGCACAGGCAGAGGCTGGAGAAAGTCCACTTGGCCTGACTTCAGTCTGGCTCTCCTTGGCTGTGGGATCTTGGGCAAGAAATACCCCTCTCTGAGCCTGTTTCCCCGTTTGCTAGAATATGGGGGTCCTAGGAATTCTCTCCCTTTTAGGGTTATGGTGACTTCGAATAGGAAACAACTCGAATTGGGTCCACGTAAGCCCTCGGTAATCCTCCAAGTCTAAGAGTCTCAGTGATTTGTTCCAATAATTCCATCACAGACCCTCTGTCACTATACGACCCTCCCTCTGGCCCAGCCCAGAACATAATTCCATTTCCCAAAAGTCCCAGGAGCACAAGGGCCAGGGGTCTGGAAATCGCACGTCTGGGTAAGCGCCACAGCCAATGTTGATCAAAAGCTCACCATGAGCCTAGAACAATGTTAAGGGTTTAATTCTGTCCCAAGAGAAGGAACCCAGGTGCCCGGACACTTAGGACCTGGCTCAAACCAGGGGCTTCCCAGCAAGCAGGGCTGGGAGATTCCGTGTGGGGGAGGGGAGGCCAGAAGCCCCTTCCCTGGCTCTGAGCAAATGCACCAGCACCTCAATCACCACTGATAAAGAGGTAGAAGAGGGTGGCAACACCCTCCTTCCAGCTGGCCTCAGCCCCCCTCCCCCAGGCCACTGCCCTCCCCAGAGGTCCCCACTACTGCCACACTGGTCCAGCCACCTGGCCAGTTATTTCTGGCCAAGGGGAAGGAGAAGTGAAACCAGATTGGGGGGGTCTGTGTGTGGCAAATCCCCAGACCAGTCTTCTGGGGCTGGCCACACCCTGTGGGCTGCCCTCCTTCTCTGCCCAGCCCCGCCTCCCCACCCCCCACCCCACCACTAGTCCCAGCCCTAGGACAGGGCAGGCCCTGGCCACGCCTAGGCTGCACCCAAAAGGGGAAGTAGTGCTCACTGCCCCGCCTGTCCAGTACAGCCCCTTCTCCCACAGGAAGCCGAGCCCTTGAATTTGAGAGGGGTCCGCATCCTAGCTTTACTCACCTGAACCCTGGCAAGGGTTGGTGCCCCTATAGAGCTGACAGCCCAGCTTCTTGTGGTCCATGAAAGTAGTGATGGCCTTCAGCGGGAAGGTCTGCAAGCAGCGGCCGCAGGTCAACATATCTGGGTGTTTGTCGGTCCACGGCTGGCGGCCTGCAGGGAGGAAGTGGGTGGTGAGCGTGAGGTGGGGCCAGGATGGGGGCTGGGGGTTGCAAGCGAGAGAGGGGAAACCCGAAGGTCAGAAGGAGGCCAGGACCCAGCGACGGAAATACGGCAGGGGCTGGGGGGCGGTGTCGGGAGGAGGGGGTCCCACCCGAGAGAAAGGGGAGAGTGGTGGGGCTCCAGGCAGGGGGCGCTCACCGTGAGGGTTCGGGATCAGAGGCATCCACGCCGCCCACTGGTTCCGCGCGCTGAAGGCGTGGAGGGGGCCGCCGGCGGGCACCGGGCCAGGGGAGTGGCGGGGTTCGCCCTCGAACCGCCCCGGCGCGGGCACTTCCTTTGGGGAGAAGGGACCCAGCCCCAGGGCCTGCAAGGGCCAAAGGTTCGGCTCAGGCTTCACATCGATGATTAGGTCCCGCATCTCCGTCTCGTCGTCTGAGTTGGCGGCGGGCGCGGGGTCTACTCGGCGGGGCGTGCAGCCGGCCTTGCGGCGGGACATGAGTCGTGGCCCAGGCGAGCTGGCGGGCTGGCGGGCTGGCGAGCTGGCAGGCGGAGGACGAGCGAGCTGCGCGCGTTCAGAGCGAGGCGCTCAGGTGAGTGACTGCCGCGACTGGCCGCGAACTTTTACACGTGCTAGCCCAGGCTGTGGCTCCGCCCCCGGGGGCGGGGCCTGATGGGAGAGAACGGGGCAGCCCCGCAGGGGCCCCCCGCCGGCGGCCAGACTCAATCAGAGCCATGCTCACTGCGTTCGCCTTATTGATCACACCTTAATGTCACCGACTTCACACGGACACGCAGAGAAACGGCTTTTTCGGATCCCGTTTTCGGGCTGATGAAACTGAGGCACAGGGTCTCCGCAAACACCCCCAAGCGAGAAAATGGTAGGGACCACGTTTCTAACTAGGCTCCTAACAGTCATCTGGACTCTTTCAGCAAATGCATTACAATAAAAATTCACTGGGCAAACATATCGAGCGCCTATTGTGCACTGGGGGTACAGCAGTGAACTAAACAGACAGTCATCTCTCACCTCCCGGTTTATTGGTTAGGGAGACCACTTCAACAATAAGCGTAAACTCCAGAGTGCCTACCAGAATGACAAGTGCGGTGTGGAGCCAGTAAAACTAAGAAGGGTTGTCAAGGGGCGGGATGACTGGGATGAGGTCCTCAATTTTCTCCCCACGCCAGGGAAGGGTGTGGCGGCAAGCGAGCCAGCCAGCCTCTGTGTTCAAGAATAAGAAGGAGGGGGTGAGGGGGCCAGGGCGAGAGGTAAGGGGGTGATTGCGTTCTGTGAGAAAATGGAGTCAGCTCCAAGAGGGCCTTTTGACGACTTTAAAGGCTTTGGTTAACAGAGTCGTGAGCCTCGGGAGGGGTTTGAGCAGAAGAGGGTTGCGATCAAGTACATCTATTTTGCTCCTACACTTGGAATTGCCACGAAAGCCAACTGTCTTACCTCCCTTCGCTCGGGCCTCCTAGAACTTTCCTCCTCAAAGCAGCCCTCTCAGATCACGTTTGAAGTGGCATCAACACCCTGCCCCACCCTCCAGCCCTTACAAGTTTTCTTTTCTTCCTGGCACCAACCACATCATAATACAGAACAGTTTTCTTGACTATCCTCTCCCTTCCTCCCACCCCACACAAGTCCCCTGAGGTCAGGGCCAGAGTCTGTCCTGCCAGGTGGGTCCCCAGCGCAGTGCTGAGTGAATTTCACATGCTAATCTCCTGGAGTGCTTGCTCCAGGCCCCAGGGTTCCTCATATTGTTATTCAGGTCTTGGCTTGATTGTCCTCCTGAGAGCAGAGGGCCTCCCTGACCACGGTATCTAAAGTAGCCCCACCCTACTGAAGGCCTTACGGATTGTACTCTATGACCTCCATCTGTCCCCAGTTCCCTCCTGGGCCTCAGTTTCCCCATCCGTTCCCTGAGGTAGCTTCTTCAGTGCCACCTTCTTCTCTCCGACCACCCGATTAAAGAAGCTCATCAACGCTGCCACCTGCTCCTATCCCACTACCCTTATTTTATTTCGTTTACATCACCCATCAAGCCCCCAAGGATCTTGTTGAGGTTTTTGCTCGTGTATACCCCATTCTACCCCTCCCAGCTCCCCTATAATGTCGGTTCTGAGAGGGCAGGAGGGAAGTCTATCTCATTCACGAACAGAGCAGAGCCCCTATTCCTTCAAAGTTCAGTCAACAAATGTGTATTGAGCTCCTGCTATGCGCATTCTTTCAATAGACATTTGCAGAGGGCCTGTGTGCTAGGCACTAGACCTTAGGGATCCAGTGAGAAGCAGAGACCCACAAGACCCCCTCCCTTAGCAAAACCCTGTGGAAGAGGTGCATTCTGTCTGAGCCCAGACCTGCGAGGTTCCACAGCACCGCACCCCAGCCGCTCCACCCTTCCGGGCCTGGGTTTCCTTTGTGAAATAGGGCTACAGGATAATGACCGCCTCGGGTCCACCCCAGCTCCTGATCTCCAAGGTTTTGTTCCTGGTGCCTGGCTGCCCAGAGCATGATCTCAAAGTTTCAAGTAGGGTAGGTGGGGTCGGGACTGGAGGTGAGGGATAGGAGTTCGCACGTGTAGTGGGGGGTGGGGTAGGCAAGACCAAGCTCTGCCCTTAAACCCTCTTGGAGCCTCAATTTCTTCTTCTGTAAAATGGGCATGCTGGACGCCCCCACCTCGCAGACGGTGCTTCAGATCCAAGCGTGCGGCCACGGTCGCCGGCCGGCGGGGTGATGTCCCGGAGCTGTGCGGGCTTCCGAGCCCGCGAGCCC